CTCACAGGCTGCGAGCTGTCGGGCTTGGCGACACTTTAGAGGAGGAGCTTCCTGTCTAACTCCATTTAGAGACCCAGAGAGGGCCACAGGTCTGCCCACGGCGGGCGGGGATGGGCTGGGGACAGACCAAGGACTAGGATCTCGGATGTCGGTTTGCAGGCTCTCCAGCCCCCTCTGTGAGCCCCCATCCTGCCACGCCTGCGTCATGGTGGTTGTTTGCCGATCCCCTCACCAAAGGAGGGGAGATTATCAGAGGCTCCGAATCCCAAGTCAGAAGCGAGCTCCCCTTCAGGCCGGAAGAAGGGGGCTGAGGTGCTGCAGGGAGAAAGGACAGTGGAGAATTGTGGTCCCTCAAATTCAGGCTCCTGCCTCAGCCTCTTTCCCAGGGCCACCACGTTGCATGGCTGCAGGAGGTGCCATTCCATCAACTACGGTGTCAGTGGCGCCCCCTGGAGTTGTTCGGGGGCCCTGCCTGTGTACCCTCTTTCTTCCAATCAGCTTCAGATCCAGCTGGAAGGAAATGCTGGGGCTGGTCCTAGTGCAACACCCACTCCCCGACCCCTGCCTCCTGCCACTCAACCTATTCCCCTGCTGCCCACCCCCTGCCCCCAAGTCCATCTCACTGGGCCGCAAATTGTGGTGAAGGAGCCCCTCCCCCCTCCACTCAAGTCCTGTCTCTGGGGGGCTGATTTATCATGCCCCCCCCCCATCAGGCCTGCTGCAGTGTGTGAGAAATCAATAGTGCAAATGGATTGAGGTTGTTCAGCCTGTCAACCCCCCTTGGGCCCCATCTACTCCCCTGGGACTTGGGGAGTTACTCTGTCCCCTTCCGGCTTATCACAGAGATATACACACCTCCGTCTTGTGGTTGCAGCCAGAGCACTGGGCACAGGAATTATTCCTTCTGTCCATCTCTCTCTCTCTGTCTCTCTCTTTCTCTCATATCCTGGGCTGGTCTTAGCATGACAAATACTCTTGAACATCTCTTTTCTAGCTTGGGTGGATGGGGGTGGAGGGGCTTAAAGGGCAGTAGGCTGCCAGCCAGAGGTGGGAGGGAAGCAGGTGGGTGAGCGAGAAGGTGCCCAGGGAGGAGGACTAGCTAGGGAAGGGATTGGGTGACAGCCCACCCCATCGGCCTCTGGTAACTCAATCCCTGCACCCCACCCTCCCAATTCCCCTCCTGCTCAACAACTTCAGCAGCTGCTGGCTGGAGCAGGGCTGGCAGAGTGTGTATGAGTGCATGTTGTATGTGGGGGTGGGGGGGTAAGAGGGGCTGTGGGGGCAGGAGGTGCTGCCAGGACATGTTAAAGGAGACTCTTAGCCTGGGTACAACTTGGGTGGCAGGAGGCGGTAGGGCTGGTGGGAGAGTGGGTGGTGAGTGATGGGCAGGGGGCAGGCTGTGGGGGGGGGCAGGGCAGCCCAGGGGTCTCACAAAACTTGCCTGCACTGGAGCAGAGCCTGGTGTGGTGAGGGTGGGCATGGTGAGGGGGCAGGGGCAGGTATAGCCATAGCTCACCCCCCAGATTCCTGTTCTTCGCCAGGGGGCGCATGTAACCATGAAGGACACAGCCTGTCTCTGTCCCCAGTGCCCGGGCTGTGCCTGCTGGGCATCACAGTCTCGGTGACTAAGTCACTTCTGTCCCGGGGCTGGCAGGGTGCCAGCCATAGCTCTTCTTCTCTTCTCGGTAGGTGAGTCACTGCCCTGGCATCTCCCCCGGATGCAGCTGAGTCACCCGGCTGTGCCTGCTGGGCAGGTGGGCACCAAGCTTGGGGTGGGGTTTGGGGGGGGCATATGCATAGTCCCAGTGTCTTCTCTGATCTCTCTGTGGTCTGTCCTGGCCCCACGCATAGACCTGCAGCACCAGCCAAGGATGGTGTGTCTCCCATGGGCTCTGTCGAGGGGAAGAGGTGGCAGGATCTGCGTGGAAATGTTTGATTTGGAGTAAAGGGGGGTGAGTTAAAGAGGTGACTTTGGGTTTGAATCTTAGCTCTGCCACTGACAAGCTGTATGACCTTGGGCAAGATAGTTTCCTTTTTGAGCCTCAGCTTCCTCATCTGTACAATGGAACCAGGAGCCTCACCCCATATGACCCTTCTGGACTGTGAGAATCCAATGGGGTGGGGCCATGAGGGTGTTTGTGGGAGGAGCTCTTTGGGGATAGCTGGGAGGCTGGGGAGGGAAAG